GATCAGTCTCAAAAGTTGCCCTGCACAGCTCAGGACCAAGGGGAACCTACATATAAAATTTGAGAAAGATCCCTCTGATACTTCCCGAGAAATAGCGATAACAAATTTTCACTATCAAAATCCAAGATGGCTGCCTGTCGGCCATGTTGTTTATCTGATCAGTCTCAAAAGTTGCCCTGCACAGCTAAGGACCAAGGGGAACCTGCATATAAAATTTGAGAAAGATCCCTCTAGTACTTCTTGAGAAATACGGATAACAAAGAATTGTTTACGGACGGACGACCGACGACGGACCACACACGCATGGTGATTTGAATAGCCCACCATCAGATGATGGTGGGCTAAAAATACAGGGATGTATATGCACTGCCTGCCCTACACTTAATTGTCTTTTATAAATGTTGCTATTCTTGAATTTAAATGAACCATCTATATAAGAGACAAATACATTGAAAAAGGCAAGTAATTATAACTTTCAGCCAGAAAAACTCTTTTCATTGCTTCATCGTCTATACAAAAGGGAGATAACTACCAATTGAAGAATTAATTCAAAATTGGAACTCTTCTTTGCAATTATAACTGATGCAGTGGTATTCTTTACCTTAAGTAACAAATTTTCTTACCAATTATTTGACAGACTTTCTTTTTGACATCTTCCCCTAGAACTGTATTGTCATCTTGTAAGGCTATGGACACCTGGAAATAAAAACAAAGAGTTTAACTTTTATTAGTATGAAGTAGGAAGCAATTTCAACTTTAATTTGAGGGTAGCTGACTTGCTGAATATATATGCTATCCTGGTAAACTATAGCCATTTCCTACTGACTCTCCCGTTTATTCAACAGGGTGTCTGACTAGTACACAAGAGGTTCTAGGCAAAGGCGTTTAAAAGAAATAATGACCTCTGTTGCATTTCAGCCCACAATTAGCGACCTGCAGGGGTATTGTGTACAATATTTTCCTTAACCTAGATGAAGCTGGCATAAGTATGAATATACTCTGGAAGACTCAAGGACATGTATATATGGACGGAGAGCATGTTTTAGTGCTGACCCATATGTAATTTTTATTTTATAACAATTATGAAACAAATTATTACAACTTACATTTTGTATATTAATTTGACACGTACCTAAGCTCTCATTGGCCCGGAAATTAGTATGAAGGGGTCTTAATGTGCGAGGAAATCAAAGGACCTGGAGAAAACCAAGATGGTTTGGCAGGTGGCCCAAAACCCTTTCACATCCAAGGCAATTGGGTAATCCACTTCGCCACCCGACCTAACTTGCTACCAATTTATTTTTGTGCACAATCGACCCTGTCCAGTTCTGCCTAAATTTTAAATAGCTCTGTGTATCCCTATTGATTAAATTTTAATGGTAACATTGCCATCTTTTGGAGATTTTGACAATGTTTTAATTGCATGAGTTGGCTTAACTGGCTTTTATTCTATATGAGTATCTTCTTTTCTATATGGACTTGAGCAAGTCTAATACGAATTCAGTCTGTAGACTTGTTGAATGCTCAGTGTAATATAACGACAGGAAAATGCGTGAAAATAGAGACAAACAGCATGTTTGGAGTAAGTCCTATATCATAAATCATCTAACAGCACTGAACAAGTATCATATATTCCGATATTTCCTGCAACAAAAGTTTGTTTACATTTCAAAACACAGTGTCCATGCAAGTATAACAACAACACACTGCATGTCACACGGCACCGATTCCATATTTCGAAAAACACGGCATCGTTTTATCTATTTAGGGTCACTTCTTGATACAGACATTGTTTGTACCTTTATATCTCCAACGTTTTTATCAAAAGTGTTCACAGTCGCTGCAACAAGTTGCTGTAGCTCCATGTCAAGTCCCAGTAGTTGGACAACTAAAGACATGAGCTTAAAACCAGAATCGAGTAAATTCAGTCCAATTCAACTTTTGTAGTGACCTGAATATTGTAAATGATTTTCAAATGTAATATTATAAACAGACACATCAATATTTAAATTTCTCATCAGGTTTTTATTTCAAAGTGAAATAGTGTAGCGAGTGAAGTGAAAATACTAAATTCGTCTATTCTTTTTAAGCGTGTGCCTGTATTTAGTGTGTCACTTTCATATTCAGCACTATGTACTTCCGGTAAAAAACCGGACGTGGAAACGGACGACCGGTGCTTCAACGTGAACAACATCACCTGTGGAAAATGTTGGCTGATTGCCTTTTAATCGTATTCATATCACTATGTACAGCATCTCTTGGAGAGGGTAATTTTGATTTGTGCTTATGTTTAAAAGTGCATTCATTTACTTCGCGCAAAGGACACAATTCATTCTTTGAAAGTGAAAGGGGGGGGGGGATTTATAGCTGCGATGCGATGATTTATGGTTAAATCGGCCTCGATTTTCCCAGAGACGTATATACGTCTCTGATTTACCCAAGTGATATCGGCCCAAGTTAAAATCGGCCCTATGTATGCATGAAATATACATAAATGTTATAATAACCCCTTTCTTTGGGTTTCATTTATAAATCAACCTCTGAACATATATATGACCGCCGACGATATGTGGAGCGGAAATATAATATTTAATACAATCAAATATCGACATACGTGAACATGCTTATGAGAAACATAATTTCATTAGATACTCGGTGCCCGTACATGTATTTTGTAAAAGCGCTAGTATCAAATGAAACCATATTTCGGCCATAAATGGAATATACATATTTAAAGAAACTTGATTTCATTATATACTATTTGTTCGTCTTTTCATTATGTTATTGTCATACAAACGGGCTAAAAGTATCTAATGAAATCAAGTTACTTTAAAAACGTTTAAGAATTTATTCCTTTTATTGCCGAAAGAAANATGTATACATGAAATAAACATAAATATTATAACAGCCCCTTTCTTTGGGTTTCATTTATATATATCAACCTCTGAACATATATATGACCGCTGACGATATGTGGAGCGGAAATATAATATTTAATAAAATTAAATATCGACATACGTGAACATGCTTATGAGAAACATGATTTCATTAGATACTCGGTGCCCGTACATGTATTTTGTACAAGCGCTAGTATCAAACGAAACCATATTTCGGCCATAAATGGAATATACATATTTAAAGAAACTTGATTTCATTATATACTATTTTTCCGTCATTTCATTATATTATTGTCTTACAAACGGGCTAAAAGTATCTAATGAAATCAAGCAAGTTACTTTAAAAACGTTTAAGAATTTATTCCTTTTATTGCCGAAAGAAATTCTTGTATTTTGTATTTAATTAAACCATATTTTCGGCTATAAATTGAAAATATATTTGAATTACATCCCAGTATCACAACGTCCTGAGTTGGCATCTGTCGCACTGCAACACAGGCTGCCTCGACCTCACCACAAGGTCACAATATAAACATGTTGTCACTCATGATGGGGCAGTGGATCGATCGTTGTTTAATTGATGCAAGTCGATTGAAAGTGATTGTCCAAGAAAATCAATAATATTTATCACCAATTGTGTGAGTGATCAATACATTTGATTGGCTACGTATACCTGGAGTCGAGGCGGTGATAATCAAGAGGTACTCGAGAGTTAATTATGAGCTACTCAGTTATAAAGACAGTCGGCGAACATCATTGTTTGTGTAAGGCAATAAAAACAAAACAACAACACCAGTAAGTAATTAAATAAATCTTTAATATATTTATTTAAATATAATTGTACTTATAAATGTATATTTCCCATGTATTTAACATATAGATACGATATAATACCTTTGGCCGATTTAACCAAATACCGCTGCGATAACGTAGCTTTCTGATGATGAGAATTGTTTTTTAATATATTGCGTCGTCAGAAAATACCTGGCCATGGCAGAGGAGGCCGGGTATTAATATTAGTATGAGGGATTTAGTGGTGTAGTTGTATTGTACGCGGGGGATTTATTGTTTGTCGTAATGCATTTGATTTGATATGTTGCTGTAATCTACTCGCGCTTTGAATGGTCTCATATATATAAGCTTAAAAATGATAAATTAGAGGTGCCTATAGTATGCATTAAATGAAATTTAGCTACCTTGATCTTTTATAAAGCAGCTATTGAAAGCTACCTCTTAAATAGTATTTGTAAAATAATAGGATGAGTTTATTCTCATGTTTAATCAAGCTTCAAGTTATTGTGTTAACAAATATTTATCTTGTTAATAAAATTGATGTTAATGGAATGTTTCATTTTCTTTTCTTGTTGGCAAAGTTCTCTTTTAACTAGTTTATCTTGGCATACTGTATGATAAATATAAATGGTTATGTCTGTTTCAGGATTGACATGGCTTTTGGTGTACAGAACAGAAAAATACAAGAAGCTGAAGGCTGAAGTGGAGAAGCAGAGCAAGAAATGTAATGCATTGTTATAATACCAATCAAATTTAAACATGACATATGGTATGGAAAATGTCTGTCTATACTTCCACATTTTGGTTTCCTTTAGATAACTTTCTTTAATATATATATCATTTATATATGCAAAGTCAAGGCTAAATTCAAAGTTAACAAATAATATACATACTGTGCTCTATTTCTTCAACCGTTTCACATCAATAACTCAATGAAACATGAACAGATTCTGATGAAACTTGGATAAGATTTAAGCTATATGAGGACAAACTTAATTTTCATTTGAGCAAACTCTTCTTGTGATTAGCAGTCTAGAATTCCGTTAGGTTTTACAGCTTATGATGAATTGCAATATGGAATAATCCCTATACAGTTCAAAATTGTTGATGGTTGGAATATGAACGAAGGGAGGTGATCATCTTTGTGACTTTAAAAAGGGAAGTTACTTCTGAGAAAAATTCAACCTTTCAAAATGTTGCATTTCAATTTTTTTCATACATTTTGTGTCAGAAAGATTAAAAAATATTTTACTTAAATATACTTTTAGTCCAAATACCGGTACCTGTAGTTTCAACATGGCACGTTAAGGGCAACTATTGTTTCTGCCCCATGCAGTACTGTTTTTACTGTTTATAGAATTAATAGAATCACATTATTAGTGGAAGGTTGGTTGAATAACTAGTGCTCTCCAAAATATTCAGTATTATAGGATAAGACCTCCCTTATACTGAACTTAAGTAAACGATTCACAAAAAAACTTCTATTTAGTTCAATATTTAAGATATTCTTATGACTTTATTTGATAAAATTGTATTATTATTGCCAGTATTGCATGTAACCAGGGCTTTCAGTTGGCTCCTGACATTTAGCAATATCAGAAGTCAAATATTTTTTTTAAAATTTGGAGAATCAAAACACATGTCAAATAGACAGTTTCTTTCAAATCAAAGAGTCAAAACAAAAATTGGGAAGTCAAAAACATACTGTCAAGTGTCAATTGAAAGCCCAGTATAACATGTACCTGGATATTCAGACGTTTGTAGATTGAACAAGGCCAATTCAAATTATGGATTCCAATCAATGTTGATCCTTTTATGTGAAACTTGCAGTTCCAATGGGTCTTAAAGCTATCTGATGTTTTGAAATTGTTCAGATATTTGTATCAGTTCTTTTCTTCTTCTGTTATATATCTAGCCAGGGTAAAATGTCATCACTTCCCATGATTACTGGCAACTCTGACATGTTACAGTGTTTATTTGGCCAGTGTCTGGAACCGAAACATTTTTTATGCTTATACACTTGATCTGCTTTTAGTGGAAAAGAAAAAGGAAATTGGTGATGCAACAGACCGCAGTCAAAAGAAAAAATTAGGTATGGGTTTTTTCTTCAAATAATTAATGATTAATGGCAGTAGTATACACTAACATTCAATTTCCTAGAATATTCTTTTGTAAAAAGCAATTAAAGCAATAATAACATGTAAAATACTGGTAAATTATCTTATGTACATTGTATGTTCAGATACATTTACTGACATTGTCATTTACAGAGAGACAAGAAGAAAAGCTCAAGAACAACAACAGAGATTTATCATTTGTGAGTTTTCTTACTTAAAAATAGTAAAGTATAATAAGGTGGCAATAACCCAAAAACTGTAAAGTATAATAAGGTGGCAATAACCCAAAAACTGTAAAGTATAATAAGGTGGAAATAACCCAAAGGTATTTCTTCATCTACTTTTGATTGTATTACATGGACAAGCAGCTATTTCAAAGGCTTATCGGAAATGGACAATGTCTTAATTTGATACCTTGCTTTATATGCCTGGCACAAGTTTTTGTGTTCATTATCAGGCATTTAAGAATGAAAAAAAGAAATTTAATAGATATTTGTTAAAATATGATATTTTCTGTGACAACAGCATGTTAATGTGATCAGTCTAGTGGGCGTGTGCTCAAACATTATTAAAAATAAGTAAAAAAATAAGTAATACTTTTATTCATACATGTTCCATTGTATCAATGTATTTTTCTTCCTTTTTCAGGTGAAAATGAAGTCCATGTTTGCAATAGGTTTTGCTTTCACAGCTTTACTTAGTATGTTCAATTCCATGTAAGTACTACTCTCATGTCAAGTATTGTGTTGACCACGTCATGCTATGTCTTTTGTAATTCTGGACCTGTTCGTTCAAAATTTCATATCTTTCATGTGGTATAGTTTCAAATACTTTACAATTCATGCTTAACTAAAATGGTATATAAGAGGACTTGTAATTGTCATTTAAAAGTTTAAAAAAAAATTAGAAAAAATTTGCTTGGAAATATTTGTGTTTACCCGGTATGTTGATATAAAAATTTAAAGTAATAAATTGGTGACTTGTATTAATCATGCCTGTGCATCATTAGTTGAGGAGTATCCAGTTTTATTCTTTTCCATTGGTCCATATGTATGTCTGTACAACGTTTGTATTAGATGTTCCATTGGTCCATATGTATGTCTGCACAACATGTGTATTAGATGTTGTGTTAAGCTTTGCCATTGGTCCATATGTATGTATGTACAACATTTGTATTAGATGTTCCATTGGTCCATATGTATGTCTATACAACATGTGTATTAGATGTTGTGTTAAGCTTTGCCATTGGTCCATATGTATGTCTATACAACATGTGTATTAGATGTTGGGTTCAGCTTTTCCATTGGTCCATATGTATGTCTGTGCAACATGTGTGTTAGATGTTGTGTTCAGCTTTTTCATTGGTCCATATGTATGTCTATACAACATGTGTATTAGATGTTGGGTTCAGCTTTTCCATTGGTCCATATGTACGTCTGTACAACATGTGTATTAGTTGTTGTGTTCAGCTTTTCTATTGGTCCATATGTATGTCTGCACAACATGTGTATTAGATGTTGGGTTCAGCTTTTCCATTGGTCCATATGCATGTCTTTACAACATGTGTATTAGATGTTGGGTTCAGCTTTTCCATTGGTCCATATGTATGTCTGTACAACATTTGTCTGTACAACGTTTGTATTAGATGTTGTGTTCAGCTTTTCCATTGGTCCATATGTACGTCTGTACAACATGTGTATTAGATGTTGTGTTCAGCTTTTCTATTGGTCCATATGTATGTCTGTACAACATGTGTATTAGATGTTGTGTTCAGCTTTGCCATTGGTCCATATGTATGGCTGTACAACATTTGTATTAGATGTTGTGTTCAGCTTTTCCATTGGTCCATATGTATGTCTGTACAACGTTTGTATTAGATGTGTTCAGCTTTTCCATTGGTCCATATGTATGTCTGTACTACATTTGTATTAGATGTTCCATTGGTCCATATGTATGTCTGTACAACGTTTGTATTAGATGTTGTGTTCAGCTTCATTTCTCTCATACAACAAGTCAAATAGAAATCAAAGATCATATGTAGATACATCTCAAGGAGCACTATGCCATTATGTGAAATGTAGGTCACTTCAACCTGTAGTTATGTTTCAGTGAACAAAACTTTGGTTAGACTTTGCATTTATTCTTTATTCATGCATAGGGTTTTTTTTCATAGCAAATTAAGTTTCTGTATCTTAACAATTGTGCTAATAAAGGGGTTTCAATTCTATATTTATAAAACAATGTACTAGGCAGATTTTGAAAAAAAAAATCTACTTAAACCTTTTAATTCAAAAGAAGAGATGACCAGACAATAGTCGAAACATGTGAACTGGATTGAAGTTTCCAAGACTCCACATTTGACGTCTGGTCATTTCTTCCAAATTTTGATCACTCTTATGGCGGACTAGTGAATTTCATTTAGGAATCCATCAACTTGGCTGTGCTGAATTTCGCTGACCATACATGAACCACCAATGGACGTTAGTGGACGTTGGATCTCATTCTTCCTTGTACTGTTTTGTCATAGTAACTACTGGTATTGCACATTTTCACAAGCCCTGACATAAGACATGTGCTGGCCACAGGCTTCTGGCTAATGGAATCCCTTTAACAATATTTGTTGGTTTGCTTTCAGATTTGATGGCAGAGTGGTGGCCAAGCTGCCGTTCACACCCATCTCCCTGCTACAGGGGATATCCCACAGGAACCTGGGAGGGGACGATTACACTCATTGCTCATTTATCTTTCTCTACATCCTGTGTACCATGTCTGTAAGGCAGGTAGGTACAATGCAACATATACATATAGGGACATGGAAAAAATTATCCTATCAGATTTGTAATCAAATAGGAAGTACAGCAATCACAACGTGTGTACGCTCTAACAACTTATAAATGTGTGTATTCCTTGAGTAAGACACACAAAAATATTCCTGCTATGCATCTCTAAGGCCGGGAATCTGAAAAGTTGACATTTGAAACTTTAGCTATTAACTCTGCACTTGCGACCCCTTTTAATGAAATAAAAATCTATGATAAGAATTTTAAATAATATTTTGGAAAATACATGTGTCACCTATGGCAATTTTATTGATAGAAAATTCTTACTTTTGTAGACCTTTCTGTGCCATTGTTGTTGGGACCTTGGAAAAGTTTTGAGATAAATATACCCTAGGTAGATACAAAATTGATGGTAGGACAGAGTACTGACTTCAGGTGCATACATAAATTGTTCGAACACAAGTCTGTCCATTTGCATTTTCAGAACATCCAGAAGGTGCTTGGCCTTGCTCCATCCCGAGCTGCTAGTAAGCAGGCTGGAGGGTTGTTTGGTCCTCCCCCTCAGCTGTCAAAGTGATGCCGACAATTCTCATCCCATATCATTTCCACTGGCAGACAAAACTCCACCTATATGTTTTAGAATAGGAACATTTATATGGTATTTTTAATACCTGTCCAATTATTTTGTCAAAGTATTGTTCTATATCTCAACACTATTTAATAACCTTTGAAAATCTGTTTTGTTATTGTGCAATTGATGTTCTGAATGAGGTGTGTTTGAATGTATGAGCTGACCAGTTTCAGACATTAAGAGTTTAACATCAATATAGCGTATATACTGTTCATGATATTGTATGAATGTTCTTTTTCTTCATTTATAATCAGAGATAGTGCAATATTCCGGTATTATATAGGATTGCAGCTACCATGTCCGATACCTTGATGATTTCAATGAAATGTTAACTTTTTGTAAAGACACCAAAAAACTCAAATCTGCTTGTCAGGCACACCACACAAGCAGTTTAATGTTGTGGAACAATTGTATCAACGGGACTACATCAAGAATGTCAAAGTGAATAATTTTTAGTCGAGTCAGATATGTTGGTGTGTGGTCAGTTAATGTAAGTCTCTGTATTTAAAGAAATAAAATATAAATATTATTTGATATTTCTTTTCTTTTAAGTCCAACATCTGATGATGGTGGACTGCTATTCAAATCACCTTTCTTCCTTGGTCTGTTTATCTCCATCAAAAAATCATGTTATCACCATTTCTCAAGAATTAATACTGGATGGTTCTAAATTGTACCCGATATTGTATATTGATACATTCACCAGGCTTTTCATGAAGTACTTGGCTGATTTTACTCTGAATCTTCATGTGTACTGCAGGTTCCTCTTAGTCTGTACGTACTTAAGCATATTTTAATTGGAGAATGATCAGAAACACTAGGTGCATGGCTGTCAGACAGCCAATTTTGACTGGCAAGGTTTGTTATCACAATCTCTCAAGAAGTGAAAAAATTCATATGTAGGTTCTTATTTGTCAAATCCCATCATTGCTCATGACTAATTTTCTCAAATTTCATATGCATGTTCCCTTTGTTCCTTAGCTGATCAGAAAAACAAAATTATTGTCAGGCAGCCATGTTGAATTTTGAGAGTTGAAGTTTGGTATCCTTATTTCTCGAGATGAACCTGACAGATCTTTCTCAAGCTCTTACTGTGTTCCCTAGTTTTAAATATTTCATTCCGAGCTTCAAGCTGCTTGATCAAAAGAAAGAAAAAAAAATATGCTGCTAGAAAACACATCCCTTTTGTGAAAGAGACCTGGTTTAACCTGGTCATTTTGTGGTTTTAATCAAAAGTTACCTCAAGTTGCATTTACAGTTGACACGACTATCAATCCAACAAATGAGAGAAAAGATAAAACAAACATAAAACAAATGGTGAGTGCCAACAGAATTACATTAAGCTGAATTGTTTGTGTCCTGTACAAAGTTTTCAGTAGGTACGTGTTAATGTCAAGGCCTTCTTGTGTCTCTGGAATATCCTATAAATTTCATTGCAAGCAGGTGTCCGGTCCAGATCTTCACACATTAGTCTACAGTGGATTTTTTTTTTAAAGATAATCTACTTTATCACAAATGCCAACAATTTGAAATGCAAGTTTATAGCATACAAGTTTACCTCTACCTCACTAAATACAATGTGTATATATATGCATTGTATAGCTCGATATAAAACAAGTTTTTAAACTGGTTGGCAGATACTCTTCAGACCTCAAATTGTCCAATATGTTCTTTTAAGTATTCTCAATTCTTTGGACTAAAATACAATGATAACAATAATTTTTTCACAACTCTTCAGACCTGAATTGTCTTGTATGTTCTTCTCAATTCTACAGACTAAATGTAAAAGGCAATGAAAACAACAACAATTAAATGATTTTCATCAAAAAATATTTAATGCATAAATGTTGTATATATACATGTATGTATCTCTAATGTAAAGAAACATAAACATGATATCAGCAAACAAAATATCACCTTATATCAAATAACGGGTACATATATATCATACACATTACAGCTTTGTTTGGTTTTACCTAGCTAACATTAAACAAATGCCCCTAATAAGTAAAAAGAATGAAATTTGTTCAGACATCAGATAACAATGGCACCAGGATGTCTACTATAGAATAATGGCAATATAGAATGGCAAATTATAACATATACACCCACAATGTAACTAAAACCAGCAATACCACCCAATGGTTTCATGATGATGGACTACATCACCAATCAACATATACATTAATTATTATTTGAATTAATATACATATTTATGTTTAAGTTGAAACATTGACAAAATATTCTTTTGTGGCCAAAATAAGTCGTTGTGTAGTGTACCTTTAATAGTTTAATCATCAAAAAAAGTTGACGTAAAATACATTGTGCTATCGCGGAATTTACCCGGAGTGATGTCGGTCACAACAGACTGACATGTTTAGTCTACATACAATAAGGTATGAAATATTGAATGACGAATGTTATTAAAAACGCTCCTGTAATTTCAGTGAGTTCAATGTCACATGTTATTAAAAGCGCTCCTGTAATTTCAGTGGTTTCAATGTCGCTTGTGTTTTTAAACGGCTCCACTTCATATCAAATTCTGTTTAATTGACTTTTAAAATGTATTTTAATTAAAACAAAATAGAATAAATCTAATTTTGTACAGTGACAGTGTATATGTAATGGCTGTCTAAGTGAACAATTTAATCAATGTGACCTGTCACATCTATGATCCACCATGATTATTCTACCTCTGATAATGTAACAGGTATGATGATATATTTGATATCAGCAGTATGTTTTCACTTAACATTAACAGTTTAATCAGTATCAGTAGCACTAGTTTTACCACAGCAGTTGGATCTTTACTGACATAGCAGAAGATAAAAGCCACTTTCAATTAACAATGTCAAAATCATTTTACCTACATCTATAACTTGACATATATCCAGCATTATTATGAATGAAACAGGAGATGGAGTTCAACACATACTCAAACACTTGTAAAATATTTTAACATCACTCGATAAGTGCATTTTTTAAAACACATTTTCATGTAAAAAAAATAGTTGTTTTTGTTAAAAAGTAACTTTCTACAACTTTTACTGTCAGAGCAAGAAGTATCATTCAAATGTAAAAATTTACACTTTAAAAGTTAGTCGTATACTTAATGGCCATGCTGGACAAAATAATACTGTGGGTATAAAAGCTTGGTGATGAAAATTACAATAAATTTGTGACTGAATGATAATTTCTGATATGCATTTACATCAGATTTAAGTACAACCTTTTCCATGATTTAATGCCAAACATCATGTAGATCATTTTGTATACATGCCTCTATACTGGTGCCATGTGCACTACATAGTATGTATAATATATGTCCACAGAAGTTATGTAACAACTTGGATATTTTCTAAAACTGTTACATCTAACGAAAATTTACCATGAAATCCCCTTGCGTTTCCACCATAAACATTCTATATTACATAAATTATATAAATTAAAGAGATTCTATAAAATAAATGCTGGAGTACAGAAAATGCACCAGTGTCTGTAACATTGACATTACTTACATGAAATACTTTTAAATGTAATTCTTGTAGCCAAGCTATATCCCATAAGTTTCAAGTACATAAACTATCTAACTAAAATTAGGATGAAAGTGCTTTCAACCATCAACCGGTATAAAATTAATTTTCTGTCGGAACTTGATCCGACAACGAATTCACAATTTTCTGAAAGGCATAGCTAGTTTCATTCTGGCAGTGATTAAACTGTTAAAGCAGACATTTCACAAACAGTACATAGTTTTGGTATTAGTTTCATGTCACAGGTTCCTCTTTAATGTTGACAGAGTCTAAAGTCCAAGAACTTGGCATTGTTCCTTCTGTATCCTGAATTCCTGCATGTTTAGGTGATTCAGATGAGTTGTCTCCTCCTAGATTGGAGGACAATGCACTATTGTAACTCGATGAATCGTCTGCACTCGATGAATGTGATGGTTGCTCAGTGTTATCATTTAATGTCAAATCTTCCTCCCCAATTATACTGTCTGAATTTTCTACAGCAAGATTTTGCGTGTTTCCTTGAGATTCACTTTGTTCAGAATTTGTGTCATGAATGTCCTTTGATGAACTGTTTGGCGAACAAGAATTTTCTTTATTCAATGTTGAATTTTCGTTGGATAAGTCAACAACTACATTTGACAAATTTGTTTCAGTCCTTGGTTGATCAGCACTGGTTGAATTTGAGCTGTTTACAGTACTTGCAAGATTATCTGAACTTGAAGACACTGGTATTTCTGAAGTGGTTCCCCGATCAGTTTTCACAGCTTGGACATTATCACTAGTTGGGCTTTTTGGAGATGTAGGAGAAGCAATTTTTGCAATACCCATACTGGAAAAAGCAGACAAGGGAGGTAGCTTGCCAATGCATAATTGTTCTCCTTTGGTCTCCATATCCAGTTCTGTCATGAGATCAGACAACTTTTTAGCTTTCCTGATTTCATTTTGGTGTATAATGGTGTATAAATGTTCCGTCAACTGTTCTTTCAGTTCAGACTTCTTCTGCAAATCTAACTTGGCCTCAATGAATTCCTTTTCAGCCTTATCATATCGCCTCCTGAAACAACAAGAACAGATCAAACCTTGCATACCGGTATGTAAATCACGTATAGTTCTTAAAGGATCTATATTTTGAGTGGAATGTATACACAATTGAAGTGTTTCATATTTGATGTCATGTAGGCCTCTTGCAACTACTGAAATGATTTGAGATTAAATAACAGGCAGTTAGGCACTTATAAACGAAATTTAATACAAGGGTGGTATAGTCTGAAATCATATCCTCCCTCATCCATATCTTTATTTCTTGTATAGCCCTTGGCTTAATGCCCACTTTTCTCCTAGCTACCACATGTTATTCTACAATCCATTAGTCATATTTTCTACTGATCAATAGGTATTGTACATGATTATTTCAACATACGTGGCCTCCATGTAATCTCGGCTGGCAAACTCAATCCTATTACGCACAACAGTGACATCAGCACTTAGTAAATTGTCCAGTATCATCAACTCTTTCTGAATGTGGGTCAGCTTTTCTGCTTCCTTCCTTGCCTTCTTTTGCCTGTAGATCAAAGATTATTATGAAAATGTATTAAATAAGAATTCTAATGAGACCTTCACGCAAACAGTTAATGACTAATAATGTTTCATTGGGGGAGATGTCGATTTTTCAGAAAAGCTGCAAAATGATTATTATTTCTATGGAAGAATTACCAGACATACTAACTGTCTTCACTTAACAATGAAAACCTATTTGCTTTTACAGTTGGACACTATTGGTTGCTGTTAGCATTTACATCACTCTGCAAATAACAAGATAGATCAATAACATTAGTGGTTAACAATATTGTTATATGATTGTTATATTTATAAGTATCAAGGGTTTATTTGAGCTAAGTGATGTACAGAAAAATTTATCTTGAGGATTAAATACTGAATATGCTTTAGGAAGTGTTTTCAAGATACTGGAAGATTTTTTTATAATTATTGGTTTTATTAATGATATCCTTTCAGTCTCATAAGAATCTTTTCCATTGACTAAGATATGCTGTTCCACTTGAGACTTACCTCTCAGACAAGGTCTTGGATAAGAGAGCCTTCTTATGTTTGTTGGCCTCTTCAATTTCTTTTTGCTGCTCTCTGAATCTTTCCAGTGTACCAAGGTCACGACTGTAAAGCCAAGAAATACTACTATAAACATTGAATGTTTAGCTGACAGATTGCACTGTTATTTCCTTTTTTAATTCTAAAAGCTATAAACATTGTATTTTGTAAACATACCAAACACAGCACCTTCTTAACATTTCCCCCCCAAAAGTGTAGTAAAATGACTTTCTGTAAAAGTATATATGCAGCTACAAAACTTACACTACAATTCTTATGAACATGTATTCATATACTGATATTATGTTCTTGTTCATCTTTGTCCAGGAAATTATCGCTAGTTTACCATATCAGTGATCAGGATGGCAAAACCCCAATAAGGGCCATTCTCTAGTCTTTAACTATTTCATTAGGCCAGTTGTATTTCAATCGAAGGTGACAACCAAATTACTTATGAATGCTAGGTGTTAACTTAATTACAGTGGTTTCTAAGGCAGGTTTGATGACACTGGTACATAAAGTATCAGAAGCAATGCAAACACATAAATTATCATACTTCAACGCCTCCTCAGGACCAAGTTCTTCAAATTCTGGCTCCTCCTTCACAACAACTTTCTCCGATACATGATCATCGTGTGTCACGTCCATAGTCTCCGTCTCATTGAGGCCTTCTATGGCTCCACTTGTTGGAAACTGGCTGCGATCACGAGGAATTTTATTACCTATGACAAGTTAAGATTAATTGTCATCACATTTTTGTAATTAACGCCTCACATGAGTATAAATAATGCATGACAGTTGAAATAACGAATCCTGAAATACAACTACTCTTTAAATCTTTCAACACTGTAGACCATAATAGAATTATCCAGATCAATGCATATAGTAGAGTTTATTAAAGTAAAATAGGGATGAAAGGGTTTATGAAAAAACAAAATGACTGCCAGACAGATCACACATGATGCTCTCTCAATTCCCATTACTATTTATGCCCTGCATGACCGAATATTGTATTCAGATTTCAACTGCCACCACTATGTAAACTTGGTAATTTATTAAACTAACCAAAACAAGACACAAATAAAAACACAACATTAAAATGCATATATGTACATTTTACTGCACATGTACATTTGGCTGACCCCCCCACAACCCAGTCACCCTTCAAATCCCAACAAATCACTGGCATACATAGTAGACCAAAGAGTGAGAATGTCCTTTTTCATCAAAAAGCCTGTGTTTTATAAAGGCAGTATTGATATTGCCTACTGTCTGAAGTAAATTTCGTATACTTTCTCTTTGTTTTCCAAATATTGTTAATAATAGAAATGTATACTAACATGATTGATTTGGTATTGGCCGAGATGTAGGTTTTGGCTGGGTGAGATTCTGCCCTGAAGTTTGGGTTTCTGAAGCACTGCCTCTTGCAGCTGATGGTGGCATTCGTCTGTCTATATCTCTTTTATTTCTGTGCTGAAACTGACCTTGTTTATACTGCATTGGTGTAGAGCTCTTTGAAGCTGAAAGGAGATAAAACAAAAAACTGTTACTTTTACTGATTATTATATAAGCACATTTTCCACAATTTCATCAATGGTCATAATTTACATTGTACTCAATTGCTTAACAGCTTTTCAACATTCACTATTTTGAGGAAAAATGTAGTACAAATATTAATACCCTGCCTCCTCTGCCCCGGTCGGGTATAAAAATCGATCCCATATCTTGCAATAGAGCAAGCCTGGTGTGAATCACACTGGGGCAAATTATTAGAATTAATTGACAACACATTGGTTCGCATCCATAAATTGGTTTGCAATATTAACTATTTCTGTTGATTTCCTATAGCTTGAAGTTAAACTCTGCCTAAAATGTCGTTATATTTTTTAGTTAAGGTATCAAGGGTAATCAAAATCTGAACTGACCGCCATGTTGGAATCTTTGTCTCTCTTCTGATATAGATCAGACGTCTATTGGATGTCATGACACAATATGGAATTTGTAGTAAACATGGCGGCATCAGTATTAATACCATATTCATGATGGTCGTTTCTATCCCCCCCCCCCCAAGACAATTGCTAATTTCGTTCAAGGGTTATTTTTATTAGTGAGGATTTGTTATTTCAACAATAATGCAATATTTATATAACATTATACTCATATGAGGAGTGAATTTGAATTATATGTTATCAGGTTTTAATTGCAGGCTCTAAAAATTTTATCTGTCCCTGTAAGGTTGTTTATAGTCAGAAATCTACTGCTCTATAAAACACGGTGATTTGTCACATAGCAGTTGATATAGCTGATCACAAACATGAGAATTTCGTAGATTGCGATTATTGAAATATATTAATCGGATCTATAACCCAGATGAAATACATTTATATCAAGCTGAGCGGTTAGTTTTCGTATTGTTAACGTAACAATAAAGGATCAAAGTTGAGGTGGAGGTGCTTCTGAGTTATGTGCACATCTGTTACGGTTCACTATGGACGTTAGGACCAGAGGAAACTTTTGTTTGTTTGTTTGTTTGATTTTGTTTAACGTCCTATTAACAGCTAAGGTCATTTAAGGACGGCCTCCCCTGTGTGCAAGATGCATGCGTGTAGTGTATGTGTGTGTATTTTGGGAGGCTGCGATATGTTCGTGTTTGTCTCCTTGTGATAGCGCGGAACTGATGCCGACTTTATAGTGCTACCTCACTGAAACATACTGCCGAAGACACCCAGCAGGACGCCCCACCCGGTCACATTATACTGACAACGGGCGAACCAGTCGTCCCACTCCTAATTTGCTGAGCGTTAAGCAGGAGTATAAACTACCATTTTTAAAGACTTTGGTATGTCTCGGCCAGGGGACAGAACCCAAAGCCTTCCTCACAGGGGCGAACGCTCAACAAATGGCCAAAAGTGAGGCATTGTCAAGGGAGACATTAGGAAGAAGAAAGTTATTTAGAAAGGAGAGAAGAAATAAGGTCCCAAATTTATTCGCCTCTTACGATCATGCAATTGGGGGCAGCAGGTACAATTCTTACGCCCTACCTGCAGGGGGACAGAGGAAACTCAAGCTGAATCAATGTATCGGCTAAATGATGACCTTGTCATTGAACTAATCATTACGATTTGAGTACGGAGGTTCGCTTCTAATCATATTAAATATACCGTTGAATTATAGAGAGTGGGTGCATCAAGATAAGCAAACAATTTCGTGTTTCCTTTACTAGCATCCCAGTGATTGGAAGGCATTTTCGAACGAGCTCTGTTTCGATTATTTTCACAAAATGTAAATTGAGATTAACTGCAAGCGTTTGTAACGTATGGACTGGTAAAATAAGCGAATCTTTCAGCTATGTTAACCTTTCCGTTGTATAGTTGGACCGTCGGATTCACGGTCTTTCAAACGACGAAGATCTTCATCCGAGAAACCCGTCCACCCACCCGCCATGTTGCCACGAAAATATCAACAATCACAGTCACTGTTACGTTTAGTAACTGAGAGTATGTTACAGCGAAGTAAGTCAAGCACTAATATCACAATGATTTCGATGTGGCAGACGCAAAATCAACTTGGCGGGGAAATTTAAAATGATAGAAAGTAGCAGAAATTCGTAATTAATGTAGGTACGTATTTATGGATTAATATTGCTCTGTCAACATATACACATCTGTTGACGCCAAATTATTCACAGGCATGCATACTAAATATAACAATATCGAACCGATAAACTGCACACACTACTTGTTTTTATTTGTTTCACCAGGTGTTTTTTTTATCACACATAAGGAAAATTATGTAATAACATTTCCATTGATCTGAGCAAATTGATAATTGTGTGAAATGTCACGTTTCTTTTGTCTTTTCTTTATTCACAAGTGTATCCGTAGTCTGAGGTGTCACTTTCAGTGAATCATAAAATCAAGAATGGATGGAGAACTCATTTGTAACTACAAGAAATGCAGAAAGAGGCTAAACTCATTTGCTTGGGTAAGCAGACAAATTTCAACCCAATTCGTAACCAAATTGAATGGTATATGTGTCCATGGTGAATGTTCTTTTAAAAGTAAGCCAATCCACAAAACGTTTTCAGTTTCTACACCCTATGCTAACCTCACTGATTTGTGTAGGTGGGAGTTGCAATGTTGCAGAAACCAAGTAGATTTTAAAATATATCTTCTTTTCCCATGTTAGTCCTTATGTTCAACCACAGACTTAGATAGAATCTAAATTCTGTTGTTCAACCACAAGGGTGATTTTTTTGCTCAGTTTTACTGCCAAATGCAGGCTGTTCCCCTAGCTGAAAAGTGACTTATTTTCCCAAAACGATCAAAAAATGAGGAATGCTTTCCAAATTTCAATACAAATAATGCTTTATGTTCCCCATTCATAGATAACAAAAACAAGTGCTTATAATGTCACACAGAAAATATTACATGGTTGGATGCATAAGAGATCTGGAAAACATCAGATAGGCCTAGTTGTCTTTTATATTATTTAGAAAGAAACCCACAATTCTCAAAATTCCAGGGGTTATGTAACTTATTTTATATCTTATGTTCTCCGCAGTCCAGGAATATGTCATGATAAAATTGAAAGCATGTGGGATTGTGGGAAATTAGCTATTTTATTAGTTTCAGGTGTAAAATAACCAATCTCAAGGCCGATGCCTCCCCTTTGAAGATTACAGATGAGGGATACCTGACTTCAAAGATGTTCAATTTTATGGTCATGCTGCTGATCAGTTCTTTTGATGTTCATGAAAGGATCAAACCAGTCTACTTGTATTGTCTGCATGTTGACCTGTACAGAGCCTTCTAGCCTTCAATTTGACATATTCCTGTGGTGCAGAGAATGTAAAATAGTGATACCCTGAAATAATTCTATTATAACTTATCGAAAATTGGACCATATTGATCTGCTTCCTGTTTTAGGTGACATCCTGTTCACGTATCCTTTGACGAAACTGTTGAACAACTATTCAAAGTGTTCACAGTGAACTTTAAGTGTGAAAATACTTATATTTTTCCTCCTATTTTGCTTTTGTATTTGGTTCCAGAATACTATGTCACTTAAAAATTAAACATATTGACAATAATATTTGATATTTAAGATAAATGTTAACTTACAGATTTTACTGAAAAATTAAGACATGATTGAATTAAAAATACGCTGTACGTTTATATGTTATAATTTTCAATAGCTGACAGCAACTATTTGCCCATGAGACAGCATGTGTACTACTGACAATAGAATATGATTTTTAATATCCCTGTAGTTTGCAGGGTCATAACTAATAACTATGTAGCTTAGAATAAAACCACAAAATAAAATAAATAAATACATGCATTGATAAACTGAGTTCTACTAGGATCATTCACAAGTAATAAATCAATTTGTTCACTGTTATTAGTAAATTGTTATGTGAAGAACATCTTACTCAAAAATGACTGAGGATTTTTTTTCTAAAACTGGTGCGAGTTATTGAGTACTGTAAATTTGTATAGCTTTTTTTCCTGTTCTAAGAAATTTACTCCTTGACATATTGCCTAAATCAGATATTTTCTGTGATGAAGATGGAGCAAAAGAGTTCAACAAATCATACACCTGTCCAGCTTGTAAGCATATTAATTCAAGTCTAGTCATCCTGCCTGACAAGTAGCCGTAACATCAAAGTATTTGTTACAGACTTTTATTTTTAATTATTTTAAAACGTGATGTATTATTATAAAGATGTTTCTGTCATTGTAAAAAATGAATATTAATTATGTTGCTTTTTTTGTTGTTATTATGCAACGTTAAGAACAATTTTGTTTTATTGAAATGAAATGCCCCTGTCTCGGGGAAACCATATTCAGATATAAAATTGGTATGCTTGTTCAAACTAAAACTGAATCACTCAAATCACTACATGCTTCATGCTAGATGAAGTAATGAACTTCTTTTCATTTTGTTCTATGCTCAATTATATACCATTGTACATGAATATTGTTTTTTCAAAACTTCAATTTGATTTTGCAGGTGAAAATACTTTATCTGGGAAGTTTGATATCATCAGAATTGATTTACAGCCAAATGAACAGTATAAATCAGTAGGTATTCTTTAAAGACAAATGAGAAACATTAATGACAATTGAAACACATAATTTTTAACTCGAATAACCTGAAATATGCAGACAAATGTAAAATTCATCTCTATTCAATCAGAAATATTCTTGTGGTATGTAGCTGTAAATACTTTACAATGAATATTTAACAATGATTGTTCCTCAGGTATGATATCATTTGATAAACATGGATAAAATATCTGCTGCAAGAGTGACTTGTTCATGTGCTATGCTATAGAAAGTACTCATTTGGCGATTGGTTCAATAAAGAAATCACACTATCTTTTGTTTTTTCAAGATGGTTTTAGCGGGACAGAAACCAGAAACTATCATGGAAATTTGTACCAGAGCCTTGTCTTTTTGGACCTACCAGGTAAAGAATACACCAACAAAGCCGACACAATCATATCAAATATTAATATTCAATTACTTTAAGAATATTTCAAAAGTGTTCATTCATTGTTCTTTTTTTTTTATTATTATTTTCTATTTTACATTCTGTAGTGTTAAATTAGATATGATTTCCTTGATTCATTAACTCAATCAGCCCAGAAATTTCATAATGAACTATTCCAACCATTGAATTGGAAGAGCTCAAATGTGTCTTCAGGGGTGAATGAGTTAATGTGGTCTTTTGATAGGAAAAGAGGATACTGGCACTGACAGTTGCTCCAGATCTGCACATCAAGCCTTTATTTAATAAGCATTAAATGAATTGAAAATTAATGAAGCCTGGAAATCACTGCTGTCCCATATAGGCTCACCAAGAGAGGACCTACCAAGAGTATGTGGCAACTAAAGCCAAAGAAAGAGCCGTCCAACTGGAGCAGTACTATGAACAGATAGTGTCCCGTACACAGACCGAGCTCACATGTATCCTTCGTTATCAAAACACAATTCATGATGAATTTTAAAGAAGTTTTCTTTCTGGACGAAACTCAGTATGATGTCGGAAGATTTTATCTATACCAATTTACATTGTGTTGTTGAATTTTCTTGATTCCACCACATTGCTCATCATGTAATATCTAAAAAGGTATGCATTCTATTTTCTTGATTCCACCACATTGCTCATCAACATCGTGTAATATCTATAAAGGTATGCATTCTTACTATGAATATTTTTTCGCCATATTTTATTGTGTGAACTAAATTTTATAATTAAAAAAAAAACTTTCTGAAAGGTTATTAGAATTCATTAAGTTTTTACTTTCACGAAATTTGAGGGGAAAAAAACCAGGCACATTTATGGACAGTGCTCATTCAATGTTTTATAAAATTAGTTTTAATACATAATGGGAGAGGAGTGAATTTAAGGCACTGCCGATAGGTCAGGTGTTTTACCTTCTTGGACATAGCCAGCACCATCTGCTTCATGAAAAACAAATTCAATATGAAAGTTACTGTCTTCTTGTGAGTCTGTCTCTTCCAACATAGTTGTTGTTCCTTCCGCTGTAGCGAAGTATGAGGTAGCATGTCCATCCTTAGTAAAACCTGACCTTTTGAGGTCAGCATTTCGATTATCTGATAATCCAACTCCAGACCTATTTCCAGCTGTCCTCATTCTCGGTGAATCACCACCGTTCACTCGTATGCCTTTTCTTTTCTTAAATCTTTCAATAAAACCAGGCGAACTGACAAACCCAGTTACTCCTAATTTGTTTGCGATCTCGTTTGCCTTCTGTCTTAATATAGCGCCTGAGACTGCCTGTCTAAAGTTAATAGTGGTTCCTTCCATTTTTCGTACCCAACTGTAAAGGGCATCTTCGACTGCAATAAAATTGCCATGTCTCATACGTTTTCTTGCAGGTGAAAAAGTCCCCGAATCGGTCGCTTCCATTATTTGCTCTTTCTGCTTTACAATGCCTGTAAGTGTGCTTCCTGTTATACCAAAAGCTTTAGCGATTTCCGTTTTAAGTTTTTCTTTTCTTTCGACTGCTTGGATTATTTCTAATTTTGTTTCCAGACTCAGAACTGTCCGTTTTCTTGGTGTTGTAGCAGCAAGACATAACATTTCAACGTCAAAATCGTCATGATCAGGTAGTGGTAAGGAAGACTGACCTTGACTAGAATGTTTACCAGGTACTTTACCTGGCCCTAATTTATCTTGCTTAGAATTGACTCGTCTTCCAAACAGTCCTTGAACATTTATTTTTTTCTCGTCTTCCATTGTTTGTTTCTACTAATCCGAAATCCTGAACTTCCCGACGATTTCTGCGTGTCTTTATCGGATTGTGCAAATTGCCACACACATGATATCTTATATATTTACTATACACGACTTGGATACAGCGATACTGTTATGCCCTCTACATACAATTCACAAAGCAGCGTTACAGGTAGTACGTATCCTCTCTCGGTTGTACCATATTATGCTTTCTTCTAAAGCTCCACTTCAAACCCTTACAAAAACACTCGTCTTGCACCTTTCTAAACCCTTCTTTGTCTGAGCACGTATATAATCACTAGCACACATTCACATTTGCCGATTTCCGGTCCCGTATAGATCTAGACTGGTCTATTTATAGAGAGCCTCAGTGTAACAAACCTTCACTGTAACGGAGATTCCCTGTAGTGGGATCACGTGTCTCTCTTTGTGTAGCTATAGCCAAATGCCCCGGAGAAAATCAATGGTGCGGTTACATGTACTGTGTTCGTGTTAAGCAGGACACACAAGTCATTTAAACGTTGTATGGGAGACCGCCGTGTACATGTTATGGTAGCTATACGTATTCAATAGGCAACAACATTCAATATCTACATGTATAAGTAACACAGCCTTTGATTTTGACAAAAAGATTCAGATTTGTTTTAGCCTTTGTTTTGTTCTACCACGGAATTAGATTAGAGGGTGTTATCTTAGTCCGTGATTCTACTTTTTGTTAGGAATTGAAAGTGTACTTTTCACATTAACTAGGTAATACTATATATATGTAGCTTTGATTTCAATTGATGAGATTTTTGCTAAGAAATTCGCCGTGCTGGGGTATAAATTTCGGGCTTCATGGTCAGTTGTCAATATATATATTATCTTGTCTATTTTGCCGTCCGCGGAATCTATCCATCTGTGCGTCCGTTCAGTTTTTGCAGATTTATTGCTTTCAAACTTTGAACACTTTGCCATTCAATAGTAAAAACTAAAAAGTAAATTGTTAATCGCCATTGTTAATATAGCGCCATTTTACATTAATTATTGTCCTTTTCGTATGACAGCATATATCACAAAGTACCGATAACTATACCTCATGCCGTTAACTCATGCCGTCACATCGCGTGTGACCAATTGCGGGCGTTTGTACGTACGCAGTGCATCGACCGCCATGTGTCGGTAATATAAACATATTCGACAGAACCGATTTCAATAAAAAAAATATGCAGGAAACCGAAGACAAAACAAAATTGTGAGTAATGTGTTTCATCAGGGTCCCAATGCACAAGATAGTTTCTAAATACGTCACTTACACAATGAGTCCAAATACATGTAGATGTTGTGCATGTGAGGCTCTGGGCGTATAGTTTGGTTATTTTAACGAGGGTCGTTTTCGTGTTTTTAATTTGATGATAAATTAGATGGTTAAACACTTATTTACCTTTTACAGATCACTTTACTATTTCATCCGCAGGGTTACCGTTTCACGTTTTGTTATCTTGTATTATTATGTGTAAAGGGAAATGTTCATGCATGTTTAGTATATAATATTAACAGCCTATTTCAACATGCCTGTGTGTGCTGAATTACAAAAAAAAAAAAAAATGAATAAAAACATCAGGTGGGCATATGAACAGGTGGTCCCACATTAAGAACTGAATGTTTGTGTTTATTTCATATTGGAGATCTAATTGGCATTGTCAGCTACCAAAGTCCAATTAAACCTATACAAGTAGGTAGAATCTGCTGGGGATTCCTTCAGTCCCCGAGGTTTGTCGTAACCTTGGTGACCACTGTAATCTCTTGAGTACTGGCATGGTCCATACAATACACACTTTACTAAATCTGATATAAACCAGTATTCCTCAATAATTTTTGAATTTCATTAAATACTTGTTTGAATGCACTGTACCTCTCCATCTGTTTCAATAGTAGTTTCGACCTGTTTGGATTTCCAACTTTTTGGCTCATAAAATAAATTGTATGATGTAGAGCATCGTCGGATACCCGCGGTTGATTTCGCTTCGGTACTCACTCATGAGTACCGAAGCGAAATCAACCGTGGGTATCCGACGATGGATGTAGAGTAGTTCATTTTTATTTTTTTACGCCTTTTTTATTTGATTGAAGCATATTTTATTGCCTTTTTTACATAGCAATGGAATTGGGCACAAGTTCTACAACTTATATCAAGCCCTTTCCCTGTACAATAATATTTTTTAACAAAATTTCATGATGGCAGAACTACGACAATAAGCTATGCATGCATACACCCACACATTCACATACCCAACCATACGCATGGGCACACATATAAACAAGAGTAGTTTATGTTTGGCATTCTGTATCTATTACTAAATTTTAAACGTGCGATCATCTGTGTGTGTGTGTAACGTTCATCTTTGAAATCAGACGATTTGTATATTTCCTGATTTAAATCCATTTCATAGTCATTTTTTTGACGGATCGCTATTGATATAATAGTTCTGTTTTACAAATTAACGGATATTTTCTCGTTGCCACTTAGGTGTTGTTAATTTAGCAAGATATACAGTCATTCTTTATTTACCGTATTTTACTTCGTAGCTGTCAACTAATTTCGACAGGTCGCTTACAAATTTGGTACACAGCTTTAAGGCTACACGAAGTTACCCAATGTGAATTGCCATTTGATTTGTTTATACGAGTTGTTGCCCTTTTCAAAGCATGCATTTAGGTTCACATTTTCAGATCGAATTTGGTCCACCGCATCGTGATCTCACGGCGATTCAGATGTTTTGGGTCAACGTTTTTGAAAACGTTCACATAACATTTCCCTCTATATCTATTCTACATCAGGATTTAATAGAAATGACATTTGTGCTAGTCATCATGATCATCATAGACTAGTACCTTTTAAAAATATGCGCTATGAAGTTGTCTATGGTTGATGTGCATTGCCCTTCAGTACCTTATCAGTATTTATTTTAAATTTCTATTGAATTAGCAAAGGTGGTCTTAATTGCTTATGATATTAAAAAAAAACGTAATGTGATTGTTACTGACTTATCCAACATTTGTTTTGCAGGACTTCAATAACCCTGATAAATAGAACGATTTCTAATGTTGCTCTTATTGATTTGTAGGGCGTTATTGTAATAATGTCGGTCAGTAGGAAATTCAACATTGCCACCGTTGTCTAGTGAAAAAAATTCTTACCAAAAAACTCAAAATATGTCTGTAAGCTTTGGAAGAACCTTTGTCTGTTAATATCGCTTACCTGCATACTCTATTTTGGGGAAATCTTCCCTGCTGCAGATGATGCTATGTCGTCGACAGAAGGAGCTGACCCATTGTGTGTCAATGAGTGTTAACGGGACTCCGTACACATCCGCCAAATTTTCGGCCGCGTCGGCTACCATTGCCATAGTGACCGAAGCTTTCTTTTCTTGCAGTCCGGTGTACCAATTTAATAAAGTTGATTCTAGGTCGTAGTGGCTATTTTCATGCTCAGCTGACCGGCTAATCTTGCTTGGAGAATGTGGGGAACTGGGGTCTACATACATTTTTCTTTTCTTCAGAATTTTTGACACTGTTGTACGATCTATGCCAAATATCTGCGCAATCTCACCTTGTGTGATTCTTGGACTTTCCTCTGCCATTTTTGATATTTGGCACTTGACGGAGTAAGGAATGTTCGTTCGTGTGCGCCTCATTGTAAATGCCTGTCTGGACATTTGATTGGACTTTTCATATATCGAATTGAAATTCTCCGACATTTGATTGTCTGCATCATTTTCACAAATATAGAGATTTCGATCGTTGTCTTGTATAGCTGACACCCCAAGTACGTTTGAATGTTCTAAAAGAGAGAGTTGCGCTGCGCCCAAGTTCACGCCACCACTGCTGGATTGGACCGTATTCTGAAGCATTGATAGATGATTGCTTGAGGCTGCACTGCTGCCAGGCATCCCCAGAAGACCGCTGGATGCTGTACTACAGATGGGTATCCCCAATCGACTGTTTGAGGCTGAACTACTTCCATGTATTCCTAAACGACTGCTGGAGGACGTGATACTGCCTGGCATAATGACACAGGGCATGGATGAAGGGCTGTGGAACACCAGAGGAGTGGAGCTTTTGGGGATGATTTTTCTGTTACCTGTTGGGGCTACCGAAACAGGGTTCGCCCCAGTGGTGAGGTCTATTTTTGACATATTTGTGTTCTGTAGACGGCGACCATATTCGGGACCAAGCTGCTCGAGCAAGTTTCTTAATGTTCTACTGGTGTGCTCGTCCATGGTCTCTTGGAGTCCGTCTATATAGGCTAGCTGTACTAAGTACTGCTGGAATGACCTGCCAACAAAATGTAATACAGTCATTATTGAATTTTTTCATGCACAAAAACGTCACCATAGGAAGATAATTGATGTCTATAGAACTTGAAGGCGATTTATTATAATCATATTTTATGTTGTGATATAACTTATTAGCATAAAGTTCAATATTAAACAGTTGCTCTTGAAATTATACAACAAAACAGTACAAGTACAGGACATTTTTTAAATTTGATAAATATATATATATGTACTTTGTTTATGTCTTCCGTGTGTGGGATTTTCGTTAAAATTATTCAAGGTTGATAGTAACGTCACAATACAAACAGAAAAATCGACATGTGATTGTCAGATCCGATGAAATATTCCTTACAAGCTTATTTTCAGGGAACGGGCGGGGGGGNCTTATCACAGTACAAATAAATCGAATTGATTGTCGAATTCTCAGCACTTTAACATGCCTCATTTACAGAATGGCACACATATATGAAGGAATATTCTTTAAAACACCATACATCATGTACATACTCATTGGACAGTACGTGCCCCAGCCTCTTATTGTCACGGGCCAGATCACCGAAACATTACGTTTAAATTATATTTATATTTCCCAAATCTTATTGTTTATGTATACATTTATAAATCTAACTTTATTGGCAAGCTTTCAATATTTGATCAGTCGCCCATGTGACCAAACTATCCCAATATTTTGATAGCCTGCAATTATATAAAACCAAGCATAAACTTCGATAACATTCTCTAGATATCTCCTTTTACTTGGTATGTATACACCGAGCGTACCTTATTACGATAAATATTTGCCATAGCCATGTCTGTTACAATTATACGCATTTATCTCGCTCTTATTTCCTACCACAATAAACTTTTATAACATTTTTCAGTCTCGTATCTCGGAATGCGTACGTTAGCAATTATATAGATCTCTACTCACAGGTACTAGCCTCGTCTGTCAATACACCTATACTATAATCTATCATATATCATTGACAGACGAGGTTAGAACCTGTGCTCTACTCATGATCGCATGTCACCAAACGCTTTTGTCTTTATCATGTAACGCTGTTCTGTGGTCTGTACATACACTCATATGTAGTCGACAGAAACTGGACAAGATTAAGCACAGATTATCTACACACATACGTACACACATCCACAACAATCAATAGAGGACGGTATACACGTGTATGGGCTACTCTTTGTAGTGATATAAATTATGAGGTTTGATATGTTCTACATATCATTACAGTATGTCACACGTGATGTGCGTTAATGTGATACAGCGTTATAAAACACACGTACGCGTATGTTAGTAATCATATTGGTATTAATGAATCACCACAACGTACACATGTCTGGGTTCAGCGTATCACGTGTTCCATGCCCCATCGAACCGCCGATGTGCTAGGCCCACACAGTCACGTATTTCACATTTCTCGCTGGTGCGTTATATGTTTCTTACCAATTGTTGCAATCTACACACATTAACACACATACACAATAAATAGACAAATAAATATACATACCTTGCGTCTTCTCGGCGAGCACCACTTGTAAATATTCGCTTCTAGAGTCTCTGTTGTCCTCTTGGGCATTTACTTCGACTCAAAGTGTGCCGGTCAGAGGTCATTATGGGGATACGGTTTATCACACATTGTCGTTACATCACATACTCTAGTATTTTTCTGATAAAATAACTTGTTTTTCCTCCAATCTAATATGTCCAATTTATCACACGTTTTGTGTAAGACGACATAACTAATTTGTATATTACGATATGATTTATTTGTATCTTTGCGTGATTTTACCAAGGTGTGATTATCCCCGTTGGGAGCCTCATCATGTAGCACACAGGGTCGGTGAATCACATGGTCTGTCAGGGCTGGGAAATGTGATAAGTTGACAGCTGTTGTTCACTGTGATCAGACTAGTCGCTATCAACAGAGGGTTATAAATAGAACAGCGGTTAAATTACTAGACAGAGGCTATACGCATTACCACGAGTTGTTTGTAATACTCTACGTACAGAATGTACGGCTGTGGGCCGTTTATTATATTTGTCGGCAATACTCCGATTGCACCCGACATATGCCTCAGGAAATCGATAGCAAATACAAACACATTTGTATGTACATTTATAAGGAATCTTAATATTTTGAGCCATGAATATATAGTCAGTGTACAAAATGTCATTATGTGCACGCTAGTAAAGGTTTGAAATATTCTTTTATTTGAGACGCATCCTCATCAGAGACGTATACATATATATATATATATATATATATACTTCTCTGTGCTCATGTAACAATGTGATCTGGTAAGGGGAGAGCACCACAAGTAATATAAATGTATTATAATATTTCAAGTCAGTGAATTTACAAAATCATGCACTTTCAATTAAAAATCACGATTATAAGTTTTCATTGATTGTAACATCTAACAGTTTGTGTGTTTGCGTTGACTTTCTCTGCATCGCCATAACAACTGACCGTAACCCATCACAATGGTGTGGAATTAGTCATGCGGATCAGGGCTGTGTGCTTGAACAATAAAAATAAATATTTGGCCTGCTTTAGCTGACTTATAAGTGTGACTGTGACCAGGTTCAGTTTTAGTTTCTTTATTTCCGGCTCTTAGGTTAAATGTCAAACAATTACATCATGTACTACATGTACAAGAGATTGAGTAAGCTTACAAAGTACACAAGTAGTTTTTATCCCCCGCTTTCATCGAAACGGGGGATATTAATTTGGGTTTGTCCGTCTCTCTGTCTGTCTGTCTGTTACGCGTCGTTTCCGTGCAATAACTGCAACAACTGTTAAACCGATTTTCTTCAAACTTAGAAACAGGGTTTAACGCATTAAGGGCTCGGTCAAGTTTGACAACCACTTTAATCGAACTTCATTTGGCGGAGTTATGGCCCCTTGATTAACGAAAAACGTCATTATCTGCAGTTTCCGCTTTATAACTCTAGCAAATATTAGCCAAATTCCTTCAAACTTATAAGACCCGTCTATGCTATGTATCTGTATCAAATTAACCAAATGCAAAGATTCGAAATTACTCGTTTACCGTGTTCAACAAAATGCAGTACAGTTTGGATTGCCGTGTTGATCTGTGTTCATCCTTTGTGTTTTCAAACTTGACGACAATGTTTGTGTTACTCTGTCTTTCCACCCATCCCGGGTACTCTTTGGTTTTCGTGTGATCATTGCTGTAGATATTGTGCAGATATTTCAACCAAATTCCGTATGCACATCCGACTCATGCTAAGTTTGCCAACCGATGGTGATTTGTGCATATTTACGGTTAATTAATTTCTTCTTTGAGTTTCAAGCTAGACGTTATTTCTCAACAGCACGATACTTACAATGTTTAAACCTATCCTCAATAATGTTTACCTACAATATGTCCTACTAGCGGGGGATATAAATTCATGTTTAAACCTAAACTCAGTAATGTTTACCTACAATATGTCCTGCAAGCGGGGGATATAAAATCATGTTTAAACCTATAACATCAATAATGTTTACCTACACTATGTCCTACTAGCGGGGGATATAAATTCATGTTTAAACCTAAACTCAGTAATGTTTACCTACAATATGTCCTGCTAGCGGGGGATATAAATTCCACGAGTTTGCTTGTTCATTTCAGACATTGAATTCTCTACGTTTTCTCGTAGCACAATATAAATACTTTCCTAGATTACACAATTATTGCACAATTCTTTTACATTATTAGTACTTAATAATTTCGTTAGATTAAAAACATTAAGGACTTGTGTGTACCCGGTGTATTCTGTACTAACAGTACGGAAGGACTTTTCGTGAGGACTTGAGGGAGAGAGGAGCACCGAAAATCTTACTGCTATATAACTATGTAAGTTTTTTTTTTTTTATATATATTTTCGGAACCACCAAGGGGGGACGCACGGGCAGCGTGTGCTCTCTCTCCCCCTTAATCCGCCAAATGCATATATTTCCTACGTATGTTGTATATATTGTCATATCGGAAGAAATCGCTCGAAAATTTTAGTGACGATCCTTACAAAGGCGTCATGGTATTGATAAAAGAGTAAAATACCAGTGAGTTATAAATGATTGTTTTCACTTTTCGGGCTTTTTAATAAAATTAATAAAAGTGAACAAAAAAGTGGTACGTTGACCGTTTTCCCAGCTTATTGACAACAAATGTAGGGTCGGGCGCGTATCCTTCTGTACGCTGGTTAGCAGCTGAATTCCACAAATTGTCGGAAAAAATAAAAGTAATAAAAACAAAAACACTGCTGGTGTTAAGTTGTGTGGTGTTGGGTACTGTTAGGCTTCTGACTCCCCTGGACCCATTCCCAAATGAATCCACTCTTAGCAAGGGCTTGCATTGGTGCACGCCCTGATGTTCGTGTCAACGGGGACTAACATTCGTGAGTTTTCCATAGCGGATGCAACTAGATCTAAAGCGCATTATTACATGTACACAATCTACATACACAAGTATAGATCATTTTACATCCAGCATTTCAGAGGACACTGACTCTTTTTACTCCTTCACTCGAGTATTCTGATTGGCTTACATTCACCTTATGTAATCACCAAAGTTTAGATGATAAAAAATATGTCAATTATCTCGAAAGTTGGATTGATATCGTCATTAAGGGCATTTCTTTTTACAACAAACAATTGCAGAAATATGGCAGCTAGTTATCTTGGTAACATTATTTTCTTAACACAAAATCATCAGCTCTGAAAACACAGCTATCTGGTGAGTATCATACATAAGTATTTTATGCAAATATCATTTCTCACATTTGCATATGCGTTGTAACAATTCTCCAAATAAAAGATATATATTTTTTAGGAAGTGCCAGTACGTCAAATATAATTCAAATGGAAACCGATAATTAAGAATATATCAATCGTACAAGGATGATAAGTGTTGATTTATAAAATAAATAATATATATGGTCAACTTTGTATCGTCCGCAAGGTGGCACGTCCAGAAAGTTGTTGCCGTCACGTGAAAATCCAAAGTTGTATAAATATTTAATGAGTGAGAGTGTGGTCATTGGATGTCGCAGATGCTCCTAAGTCATGGCAATAAAGGACCAAGAAGTAGTACAATTCTTTTTCGAATGGATTCTGTACTAACCGAAGAATATGCATTCATAAGTTACATTAATGTGGATTTTTTTTAATCTTGTTTGAAGCTTCGAAAAAGGAATTGGATACAACAAAAAAGAAGCACAATGAAATAGCCGAAAAACTACTTGAAAGAAACAGACAATATCAGAAATTACAGGTAAATTACATTCATTGTAGTATAACCTATTTTCTCTGACACAGTAAAAAACTTAATATTCATTATATGTCATTTGCACAGTTAATGTTAGAGGGCTTGCAAGTATACAATTTGTCTTAAAACATAGCAAAGACAGTTTAAAACATTTGTTTCCGAATAACCTTGATTTTTAAAGGCATCCATGTGAATATTTCCTTATGTCTTATTTTCTTCTAGTTTTGTCGACTTTCAGTTCGAATCACGGTTTTTCAATTAGAATTACAAAACGTAAATATTTTTGATCTTTTACAATTGGATGTATCTTGATTTTTAGCCCATACAAGACTTCCATGTATCTAGATTTTGAACTGTTCAGTCCATACACGAACTACAGCTGTTCCTAGATTTTGTACATGAGACACATTGATTTAGTCTTCGCAAATACATGTAACACGATCGTAGGAAATTTTGGTAATATCACGTATATAGTGGAACTGCACGATAGACATTTGACATTAGTGTTATTTGTCCTCATAAATATCAGTAAAATGAATAAAAATCGTTGTTAAAAATTGTAGTAGTTTTAAGATATTATCATATTAATATATATATATATTCCTAATTAGTCGCTTTATGACGCTATGCGGAGGAAGTGCATTACTCCATTGTCGTTTGAGGGGAACTCCGGAGACGGCACGCCCTCTTTGGGGTCCACAGATCGGAAGAGAACGACAGGTCAAAGTTTTACCATGCCGCTGTCCTCAGGAGATGGTAATAAAAACGGGGTCAATGTCAAATGATTTCCGGACATATTAAAGTAACTGTGTGTATGAGTGTATTCGAGAGATATCGACTTTGATTAGACTATACATGTATTTTGCTAAGGTGTTCAAATGTGCACTATTCTGCAAATTCTTGGTACTTGCATAGCCAAATCTGAGCGTCTGGAAGTCGGTTTTGCTTATTACAAGAAAACAAATATAAGTTATAATATTCAGGTATGATTGTGACGAGTAAGTTAATATACTGTATAGTTTATTTTTGCCATAAAAAACCATTCACGATTAACTCCTTTCAAGACGCGAATTAAAATGAAGAAAATAGTGATGATCTTTTTCCTGGAATAGTAAACCCCTATGTCATTTTCACGAGTCTGTTGACCATTATACCATTCATCATTTTTTTAAAAAGGTATATTTTTGTGTATTCCAGATATTCTACGACAACAAAGCCATGGTCATCACAATCAACAACGCAAGCACACCAACTCGCCACCAGAAAGTAAAATGGGCACATATATATGTCAGCCTGAATTGAGTTGGCATACGTGTTTTGTAATGGTTTAAGATGTTGTTTTTTCCAGTTTTGCCGTTGCGTCAAGGTTTTTTTTTCATTTTGATGTCTTTTCGTAAGGTATCATTTTTCTGGGTTCGATTTTGTTTTCGCTGTGGTCAATACATGTATGTACAATAATGTATTTTATGTAACCTCATAGGGAACTATGCTATTTCTTCGTGTGATGTGAAGGTCGATGATTTTGATAATGCTCATTAATGTGCTTTGTGCTTTGTGCTTTTTTTTGTCATCACCCGAGTCCTCGATATGAGGACGTAACATTACTTTGATTTGACCTAGATTGACATTGTGGGCGTTGTCAATGTAGTAGAAGACGCTTCCCTTCCGCAACATCTGGGCCCGTATTCATGAAACCGTCCTCATGCTCAAGCATTGCTTTTGTGCTCAAGCCTTATTTCTTAATGGCATATGGTTATAAATCGATAAACAAATTTAGTTGTAAATGATTTGGAAAAATATTGAGGAAAGCCAATCACTGTTTTCAATGTTTACATTTGACTTTTTGATCGTTTGACATGATTTTAGTGAGTTACAGGAATGTTGGTTTAAGCACAGAATCCATGCTTGAGCATGAGAACGGTTTCATGAATACGGGCCCCGGTCTTTCTCCCTGTACCTTTTCAGGGGTTTCCGTGTAAAAATCCATTCCTTTGTTCTCGTTTTGCCCTAGTTTTATAGATTTTGAGTTCGAGTTGTTGCTTTGTTGACACTTCGGTATTCCCTTAGTTGTTGCTTTGTTGATACTTCGGTATTCCCTTAGTTGTTGCTTTGTTGACACGTCGGTATTCCCTTGGTTGTTGCTTTGTTGACACGTCGGTATTCCATTAGTTGTTGCTTTGTTGACACTTCGGTATTACCTTGGTTGTTGCTTTGTTGACACGTCGGTATTCCCTTGGTTGTGTTTTTGTTGACATGTCGGTATTCCCTTGGTTGTTGCTTTGTTGACACTTCGGTATTCCCTTAGTTGTTGTTTTGTTGACACGTCGGTATTCCCTTAGTTGTTGTTTTGTTGACACTTCGGTATTCCCTTGGTTGTGTTTTTGTTGACACGTCGGTATTCCCTTGGTTGTGTTTTTGTTGACATGTCGGTATTCCCTTGGTTTTTGCTTTGTTGACACGTCGGTATTCCTTTAGTTGTTGTTTTGTTGACACGTCGGTATTCCCTTAGTTGTTGCTTTGTTGACACGTCGATATTCCCTTAGTTGTTGCTTTGTTGACACTTCGGTATTCCCTTGGTTGTGTTTTTGTTGACATGTCGGTATTCCCTTAGTTGTTGCTTTGTTGACACGTCGATATTCCCTTAGTTGTTGCTTTGTTGACACTTCGGTCTTCCCTTAGTTGTTGCTTTGTTGACACTTCGGTATTCCCTTGGTTGTTGCTTTATTGACACGTCGGTATGCCCTTAGTTGTTGTTTTGTTGACACGTCGGTATTCCCTTGGTTGTGTTTTTGTTGACACGTCGGTATTCCCTTAGTTGCTGTTTTGTTGACACTTCGGTATTCCCTTAGTTGTTGCTTTGCTGACACGTCGGTATTCCCTTAGTTGTTGCTTTGTTGACACTTCGGTATTCCCTTGGTTGTTGCTTTGTTGACATGTGGGTATTCCCTTAGTTGTTGCTTTGTTGACACGTCGGTATTCCCTTAGTTGTTGCTTTGGTGACACGTCGGCATTCCCTTAGCTGTTGCTTTGTTGACACGACGGTATTCCCTTAGTTGTTGCTTTGTTGACACTTCGGTACTCCCTTGGTTGTTGCTTTGTTGACATGTGGGTATTCCCTTAGTTGTTGCTTTGTTGACACTTCGTTATTCCCTTAGTTGTTGCTTTGTTGACACTTCGGTATTCCCTTAGTTGTTAGTTGTTGCTTTGTTGACACGTCGGTATTCCATTGGTTGTTGCTTTGTTGACACGTCGGTATTCCCTTGGTTGTTGCTTTGTTGACACGTCGGTATTCCCTTAGTTGTGGTTTGGTTGACACTTCGGTATTCCCTTAGTTTTGGTTTGGTTGACACGTCGGTATTCCCTTAGTTGTTGCTTTGTTGACACTTCGTTATTCCCTTAGTTGTTGTTTTGTTGACACTTCGGTATTCCCTTGGTTGTGTTTTTGTTGACACGTCGGTATTCCCTTGGTTGTTGCTTTGTTGACACGTCGGTATTCCCTTAGTTGTTGCTTTGTTGACACGTCGGTATTCCCTTAGTTGTTGCTTTGTTGACACTTCGGTATTCCCTTAGTTGTTGCTTTGTTGACACTTCGGTATTCCCTTAGTTGTTGCTTTGTTACTACAGGCGATAGGCTTGATTTCGAATCCGTGTCTTATAAGACCCGTCTATGCTATGTATCTGTATCAAATTAACCAAATGCAGATTCGAAATTACTCGTTTACCATGTTCAACAAAATGCAGTACAGTTTGGATTGCCGTGTTGATCTGTGCTCATCCTTTGTGTTTTACACATGTAGTTTTTACTTCTACAGCTCTACATGTTTCGTTATGTTGATACATGCATACATTTATATGAAAGACTCCATTTTCTGTTGGGATTTTTTTTTTAATTTGGTGTTCCGGTCTGGTAGTATGCTTTCATTGATAAACGCAACCTATTCTTTTTTTTTTAGGAGAATTCGTGCTACGACCGAACAGTACTCCAACAGTTGGTGATCTTTCGAATCATGCGGAAGCTGGAACGAGCAGGTTCAACCTCACCTTTCACACCCCGAGGTGATGATCCTATAAGCCCGATGGCAGGTGTCGCCCCAGAAATCCAGGAATACATTTAAGACAAGACGAATCACTAAAAAAGAAAACAAAAACTGTCAATGATAAAAGAACCAACGTTAAAACTGATTTGATATGGAATTGAAGTTCCGTCATTGGTGCCGATCATTTCATCGATATTCGTACGTTTTACATTGCATGCCGGAGATATCCCTTTTGAACACAAGAACTGATGTTGATTGTGAAATTTTGGCTCATTTATTAAAACGAATTAAAACTTATTGCAGATTACGCCATTTGTACTTGATTTGTAGTCTTGTTTTCCATTATCATGCATGGTGTTGGTCACTTGTGCATTGTATAGATCAAACAATTTAGTCAAAATATCAGATAGTTGTTAAAATATTCCTTGTTTCTGTTCAAACAAAAGATATGAAGACATGCCGATATTGAACTGAAGCATGAACAGGACTGGTTGTCATTACATGTATTCCACTTTTATGATATAAATAACCTCGTTAAAATAAATTGTAATCATGCATGCCTGATTAGCTACCAAAACACAAACCAGATGTTGTAAATTACCGAATCGTCATGTGTGTAGATATAGGCCTTACGTTGACCAGGGTTTTCCCCAACATGCTATTTTTAAACTGAAAATATCCAATCCTACAATAGTTCAGGTCGATATATTACTTATCATACGCCATAAGTAATGGCAGATATTGCTGTTGAGTTCCAGCACTATGTTGACATGGCGGTCGATGGATTTGTAAATTTCAAGTTTTTACAGGTAAGTTGATATTCATTTTGTTTAGCAACAGTATAGCTGCGTCAGTCCTGTTAGTTTTCGTTCCTGGATAATTTCTATATATAGATACAGATAACACTGACCACTGGGCTTTTTTTCAGGAGGAGTATATAACTACATGGAGAGCCATTCATTTGAACCTGGTTTGGCGGAAGAATGGTGCACCTATAAATAGATTTTACTGAATGTAGACATTGTCCTTGTCATATGAGATCAACGAGTCATTTAATGTGAAAAATTGCAATGAAAGAAATTACTTTTTTTTCAAGCATGGATAAAAATTGAAAAACCCCATTTGTAAAAAACGAGTCGGTCATGTATTTGAGTTTATTTTTATCTTTACCAAATGTTGTTTTGTGATACATATGACTATTTACCAAAAACAAGTTTGTTATAAATATTAATTCGCTTTGTCCTTAGGTAATGTTAGTTTGGTGGTTTTGAATCTTTCTTGACGGCGGGTACTAGTTGATAGCTTACTAAACGCAGTATTTCAAATTTGGAAGTGAAATTAATTTTACGGATTCTGTGAATGGGGAATGTTTCACTGATAGTTTCTCCGAGATACGATAACCCCTTGATAAGGGTAAGGGTTTTTGTTAATATGACATCTGCTAAACGAATCTTCCATTGTTCTAAAGAAATTTAAGAAGGAAATTACAGAGCGTGCAAATGAAGCCATGTTTATTATCTATATCCTGCCCCCATCGCAACATTTAGGATCTAGAATTTTTCTTTTCTCTCTTCTTTACCGTTTTATTTCGGCGTTGTCTTTTCAGGTCTCCATCAATCGGGAACCGTCGGCACTTTCCGAAAACGAGAAAATTTGTTCGTTTACGGCAGGTTCCAACAGTTCCCGACAGGGTCTCCAATCTGACATTGGCTGTTACGAATTGAACTCTGAACAAAGCCTGAAGAAATATCTGGGGAAAATTACAGTTTGGAAGTTTAACACAAAATATGCCTGATGTATACTATTTCTTAAGCGTGGTTACAGGCATACAGTATACCAAAATATAAATTAGACTCTAATGCAAGTGTCACATGGGGACGGCATCTTCCAGCGTTGCTATTCTAGTCTTATACAGAAAATTAACAGACATGTATACAAAATTAGAACTCATTGTCACAAAGCTATTGAATGATATAGAAATGCTTCTTTTAAGTATTTTTTTTTTTTATATAATTATACAACATGAAGAGTCAAAGCTTGCCAGGCCGTTACGAGAAAATGAATTTCCAAAACGCACCATCGCAAATTGATTTCAGTGAATTTAGAACAGATTAAAGCATTTGAACTTATCACGTTTAATTATACGTTTTATCTTCAGGTGAAATTTTTTATGTTAATTTTTTGCCTTCTATTTCGTGTGGCAAAATCTGCGCATAATTAGTTGACAAAGTGTGCTCTGATTGGTCAATTTCCAAACTTTAGTTTTCGCAAGCTTAAAATATTGTTCGATTTTGATGAAACTTGGCATTCGTATAAATTATATGAACACTGAGACTAAGTTCGAACTTGAGCAAAATCAGCGCATGATTAATAAGCATACTGTGCCTCGATTGCTTGACAGTTTCTGCATTAAAACTTTGTTACATATGACCGGATTCTGATGAAACGTGGTCAACAGTTCTATTATACAATTGCAAAGACTACGCTTAAAGGTGCTCGAAACCTGCTCATTGGCATACTACTATCTGATTTGTCGTCGGTTTCTGCAAAATAACTGTCAAATTCACAGGATTCTGATTAGACAATTTTTCTTTTAGCGAAATCTGCTAATATGGAATCAGCAATATAAATATAATTGATCTTAATGGTTTAAGATGGAAATATTAGTATTTTCAAGTGCCTAATTTCTTTTCTTTCTTTTCCAAGGCCTGGCGACTTTGGATAGACGCCCTTCATAGGCTGCGCAGACGGGCTCATCGATTAGAAAATGTACAGCCCTTGCCGGAAGTATGATTTATATATCTAAATTGTGTGTCTAAGATATGATCGCGACATATATAATGATTGTGGTTCGCAGGGGCGGGAGGAAATGACGACCCCTTTAAGGATGGTTTAAGTTTGGTTCAAGTGTTGATAATGATTAATATAATCTTTAATTGTTGATCTTTAATGCAGACATTTGGTATCGGGGTTCCCTTTTAGTCAACCATTGATGCAGTGCAGTCTAAACCTGAAAATGATGTTCATTTATTTCGAAATCTCTGTCCTTAATTAGAGTATATTTTTCGAAGATATCCATGCTTAAGTTTTCGAGAAAGTATTAAAATTTATTTAAGTACCTTCAGTATTTATAAATAGGCGTTGTTCATTATATAATGTATGTTTTATATGCAAACACTAAATTTAAGTCACATATCGTTACGTAGATGATGTTTTACCATATAATGTTTATACAATATTTACATTCTAGATGGTTCTTTAGATTGATCAAAATATGTTGTTCTTCAACAAATGACAGTGATATTTATTAATCGTTTATTTATTACTTTTCTTCTATTCTTCAGCCGCCACGGATATTAAAATTATGGGCCAGCATCGCACTGATATTCGTGTTCGTCTTCAGTTTTGCAATGTTCGTTTGTGGTATCACTAAGGAAGTAGTAACAGAAGAACTAACGCCAGATGGACGATTCCGAGAAGTTTATGCTATTCCAAGAATCATGAGAAATACAAAATATGCACTGTCGTGTTTTTTTCGCCGATTAGCCAATTAACTGATGCCTATGATGCAGATACTTTGATAATTACGAGGGTTTGATTTGGAAGAGAATCCTCATCGACCACGTTGATTACAATTCATTGGTTAGACTGTTAACTTAAATACCGTTTTCTGAAATGTTATGTATTTACTTTAATTCTATTTTTTTTTATGGCTGAATTGAAATATCAACACGTTAAGGAGAAATGAAATAAGGATTTCGTTTATGAGTGATTTCAATCTATGAAACTTTATTTGCCTTTTTCGACATCGCCCCTAATGTTATGTACAAGGTACGGAAGGAACACATGTTCATTCGCAGCCATCCATTTAGGCTCGCCACCGTCTCTAGAATATTGAATTATTACGAAAAGAAAAAAGAAAAACCTAATAATTTTGTTCACTTGGATGTCTGATCCTAAGTTCTAAACTAGTGGAGATAAGCTAGTAGTAAAATGCAGTCGAGAAAGAAATTCATCATAAAAAACTTAAGGGCTGGTAGCCAGTGTACAATCCATTGTATGTGAAGCCTCAGTGACATTTGCTAAAAGGGATATGCAAACTGAGCGTTAAAACAGATTAAATCCTTAATTATCACGCATCATTTTCTGAAGTCTCCTCTTGTCTCGTTTTGATGCAGTATCAAAGATATCCTGATAAAATATTAACACACATTAAGGATTTGAAATATAAACATGACATGAAAAAATATTTGAAAAAAATATAACAAGGATTAATTCCTTAGTGGTATTATTGTGTGGATGAGTCATTCTCCATCTTTTAGATCAGATATCTTGATTATTGTTCATTATTAATGTTACAACTGATAAATTGTCAAAGTTCCTTAGATCATATGCCATGTTTAATTGAAAAGTGGATTAGTACTTTTACTTTTAAGAGTTACTAATAGAAGTTAATCTCTGACCCGTAGGATAGGGGCATTCAAAACACTGTAGCAGAAACATCCAACAACAACCGGTAGAATTCTCTCATTAAATGTGAAGACGAAAGTAATTCTAAAGTATGTGTAAACCTAAGCTGAAGTTACAGTATTTTATTTTATGTTTAAATCGTTCTTTCATGCAATTTCCCGTCAAATTTTCAGTTTTGATATTAAGGGATTTGTAAAAGAAAAAGGAGCAAATTTGTAGATGTTATTTTACATATTTTGAAAAATAGAATTTTGTTTTAACAAGGCAAGTAACGTCTTCAAAATATCATGTAAGCATTCATTTCCGCGCTACATCTTAGACCAAATTTATTCTATAATTAATATTTTCTGTCAGAAATGCTGGTTTTCAATGTTAAAAGGAAATGTTTTCAAATATGATTACTCACCATCCTTAAATCGAAAATCATCTTTCACATATATGAGTTTTATAACAAAATCAGCAAAACAGATTAATTTTCATCACAATTGTTGGTATTTTTATTCATAACTACAAACAGAATTATTATACCGACTTTCATTTTTTATCATGGCAGCACTTCGAATACGCAAAAAAAGAAGATATACACATATACAGTTGTTAAAGATTTGTCTATGTTTCTTATTGTGTAATATTTAGACATCAATTCTTCTAACTGTGAATAAACTTTCTTGCATAACATGAAGCTCAGATTTGAGGTTGCTTTAAAAACAAAATCGTAATAATAATTATTATAATTTATGTAACTTTATAAGAACTTACCCGTTATATACACCCCGGACGTTTAAACAATGTATTTGTCATGTAAGCGATTAGAACAATGTATCTTATATGACATATATAAAATAGGACTATATATTAGCAATGACATGAACATCAGGACAATGCATTTTATCCTTACATAAAAAATAGGACAATACATCAACGCTGACATACCAACTAGGACAATGTATTTATCCTGCCATGGAAAAATAGCACAGTATCGATTCTGAGATATAAAAATTAGGAAAATGGTTTTCCCAAGCCACGTAGCAATAGGACAATACATTTTCCTGACATATATTCACAAAAGCAATAAATCTATTCCGAGATGTAAACAGCGGGAAAATGAAATTACCTTGACGCACAAACTAAAGGACAATTTGTACATGTAACAATAGGACAATGTTTTTTTCTTGAGAAATTAACAAGAGGACATTATATCAATCCTTCGATGAAACATATAAAATGTATATATCCTGATAGATAAATAATATGAAAATGTATATCCCCTGCCATGGAAAAATAAGAAAATTTATCTCCTTGCATATGATCAAAAGGACAATAAAACTATTCTGAGATAATAACAACAGGAAAATAAAACTATCTTGATGTAAATCACAAGGACAATGTATAAATCCTACCATGGACAAATAAGAAAGGGTTTCTTTCTTAAATATAATTAATAGGACATTGTATTAATCCTGACATGGAACAATAAACCCAATAAAAAACATATATGTATTTAACTTCACATATTAAGCAATGCTCCTATTTTTCAGTTAAGTTTGAACACATTAAATTGTCTACTATACTAAAGGTTCGGCACGAAATTTTAAATGTTTCCTATGAAATACATTAAGTTGTAGGTGAATATTGAAATGTGGAGCATGTGCATGTTTGTCAATATATATATCTCACATTTATGGTGCAAATAACATAAAAACAATGAATACAACCATTGTTAAAATGTGCTTCAATCATGCATACATGGCTAGCTACTCATACACAAATCAGAGGTTGTTAATGAGTTTGCCAAATCGGCATTCTTTTAAAAATGTGTGGTGTTTGGATTCTTTTACAGGGTAACTGGGTAATTTATTTCCATGTTACAATATTAAAACACACATGAAACAATATACAGAAACGAACTCACCTAACAATACATTTACATATGGACAATTCACTTTGTAACGTACGATACTTTTTAAAAGTTGTAAAGTGATAAAACAATTATTTAAAGAAGAAGCCAGAAAACTATATATGAATATGGTTCACATAACACTTACAAAACCAGTAAACGACACCGAAGTGTAATAGCAGTGTTAAATAAGGAAAGTGTTCACCACACTCATAATTATATATGAGCAATTTACGGCAAGTTATAGCATTTCTAATAAATATAAATTATGGAGCGTTAATATTTATTAACATAAATATTAAGTTTAGCAATAGCTTACAGTTGACCAATAGCTTACCCTATATGTGGTACCGGGGATCCACTAGTATAATCAGTAAGTAAGTTCTGAACGTATCTCTCTATATTATCTATATGACGATGTTGCCTCTACGAGGAGCAGATATGAATTGAATAGAAAAGAAAGGACAGAGAAGCAAATAGAACACTTACGCGGGAAATATCGCCCAATGCGACGGGTGTCAGAGGTCAGTTTGTCACTGGTCAAACAGGTATACAGCAACATTCACAATTACGTCACACTCGCATACATGCCATTCAAAACGAAAGCAACACACGAGACTAGGCGGCAGCAATTGCGGATGCGGAGCGCGGATTAAAATCAACGACACTACATTATACAAAAGTAATGCTGATTAGACTCAATATATTTTAGTGAATCTTTAGGAATATAAAGAATTAAAATAAATCGACAAATCTAACAGGGTGCCACATATATAAATAGTATGAATACACGAGTCGTCAATTATGGTTTTCCACTATGCTATTATTAAACAATATGCAATTGATAATATAAAAAGACCTTTCGTTTTGTCTTTACAGATCATATATACTATACTTAACGATTTATACATATAAATATAATCTAATATCTAATGGATATGTATTTCATAGGTGACTGGGATAAGTGAAAATGCCGATACTTTTCCCGATATACGTGTTACAGACGTTGAATATAATGAGGATTTTGAGGAATTCAAAAGAGCTTTTGATCGGTCTAGAACAATGTCTTCTCAAAAAATGTTTCTTTCAATGAAACTTTCATCTTTTTGACACTTGACACTACATATCTATTACAAATTGTGAGAAAAAATGAGCTCCTTGTTGACAATATGTCTTTATTGGTTTCGGTTGCATGACATTCAAGCCCCATATTACATTGCAGTGTTGTAAGGTAATTAAGAAACTAGTTAGTATTGCTTCCATCTGAAATTGTTTTTCTAGGGTTGGAGACTTTGGCTAGACGTCGTACATAGGTTCAACCAAAGATGTGATCGCAGATTAGAAAATGCAGAAACTTGCCCAAAAATAGTATGTCCTAGTTTTATTAAACACAGAGATGCATTACTACAACATACAAAAATTAATATGCAACGTCTATTGTGGGTCGAAATTATGATAATAAAATATATAATTATTCTAGCTTGCCTATTCGGAAAAAAATGAGATTTTGGAGGTAGTGTAGCGACCCCGTCGGTGATGATTTAAGTTTGGTGCAAGTGGTTTGGTGCAAGTGTTAATTTGTATTAATTAATAGTTGTACTAGGATACAGAAATTAGGAATTGTGACTTCGGATTGTCCAATATTGATCCAGTGCTTAATGTTTTTCAACCTTTGACCAAATTCGGACTGTATTCGCAAAGATCTTGACGCTAAAGAGTTTTGGTGTAAGTGTTAAAATTTGAAGATCTTACTTTAATATTTGTGCTAGAATGTTGATGTTTAGCATGGAGTTTCCGCAAATGTTGGTATTCACATTAAATTTAACATCAAATATAAATCTAAAATTAAACAAAAGTCAAAAAGTATGGTGCTGGAGTGAACCCCCTTCCCCATCAATATAAGACTAATCTACATATTCCTTGCAGAAAATATCATCATTTCAAACGTTCTTACTTGTATTAGTTTTTGTATAAGTATATATAGCCATACATATTTGTACAGTAAAATATGACATATTACGTCACAATTCCTTATACAGCATAATCATATATTTGTAGAATATAATTACTACACGTTACGTCACATGCTATAAAACACAGCGTGTAGATCAGACTTTGTCCAATTTGGTTTATTGTGTTAACTGACTAAATCATTTGGTTCCGGGAAAATTCTTAAACTTCAGTAATTTTATTCTTGATTATCCGGACTTTGTATATTTTGAAAACCGGCCTTGTTACTCGGTCCCATATCCTCTATTCATTAATTAATATACTCTCTGTAAACTTTGGATCACGTTTTAGTCTAGTACGTGTGCTTTTTAGATCTTATAACGTTGTTTAACAGGAAAGTTAAAAGTTGACTAGTCATTTTCAGCTTACACAGAAAGGTGGAGATGAGCATGCCTTGCATACATTATTTTGTCTTACATATAGAGACATGGAATGTCAGTTCTACTCTTACCTGTGTCGATCAATGATATAATACCTGAATATATGCTAGAAATATAATCTTATCTTATCATTATTGTTGTCTTAATAATATAAGGTAAGTACAAGTATTTGACAATTATGAACAAAATTTAGCACTCACTTTTGCGTTCATAAGTCTCAGTACAGTCAGCAATGTTTAGGCAAGCACTCTGTAATCCGGAACTATCTACAAACAGGTCCGTTAATTTGTAGATGAAGTTTAACCATGAATATTTGTATAACATTTCTTCATTTTAGATTGCTCTGAGAAATAAATAACTGATACATAGTGATACATGCATTTACTATTAATCTATTACTCTCTCTTTTCAGGCGTTTCGGACATGCGTCATGACCTTAGTCAGTGTTGTTTTTCTCGTTACTATGGAAGCAGTAACAGAAGATCTAAAGCCAGATTGACGATTCCGGCAATTTTATGCTATTCCAAGGGCTAGATATTATATATTGTTTGGTGGATTTACTGATTCCAATGATTACTGTGAACACAAAACGGATATATACAAATTTTGATGTGACCTCTTTTACAAAATATATATATAAAATTATTAATTGTTTATTTTTTCAATTTGTCAAACAACAACGATAGAATTTGATTTGCAAATGAAACCTTATTGGTAACCTCATTTAAATGCACTGGTTAGACTAGCCACGCGACATGTATGTTTACCACTGTTAAAATTATGTTAATGAATATTATTTTTTTAATGATTGAAATAAGAATTTCGCCGTAATGAAGAAATGATAGAAGGGTTTCGTTCATAAACTATTTTAATCATTGCCTTTGATGCCTGCAATGTACATTGTAGCCATGTATTTGGAAGCAGTGGAGGCATTGCTGTCCAAAATGTGTGCTCAAACAGATTTAATTTTATATTATCATGACCATAATATGGTCTTTAATTATCATTCACCATTATATGAAGTCTCGTTTTAAGACTAGTTTTGATATCGTATCAAAGATACCATTGCATACTGACATGTATTTATGGATTTTAAATATTAAGGTTATTTACAAATTCAAATCGAAAACACAGAAAGAGATATTTCACATTTATAAAGTAAACCTAAACGAAGTCATATTCCACCTTTCAGGAGTTGTTTAAAAAAGGGAATGTTAAAAATGTTCAATCAAATGAACCGTCCTTAAATAGAAAATCCCCTTTTAAAACTCCGCAAATAGATATATTCCTATCATCATTTCTGCTTTTTACTTGTTTCAACAAAAGAAGGATACATGTATGGTACTGACATTCATTTACATAACCATGACAATTACAGATACAT